CCTTCTCTTTTCCAGGTGAAGAAGTGCATGATATAGAGAAGAAAGATGAGTTTTTTTTTACTTTTTTTTTTGCTTTATTTTTATTTTATGCGTATGTGTGTATTGCAGGCATGTATGCAAGTGCATACTGTGGTGTTATGCAATGCCCTCCGAGGGCAGAAGAGGGTTTTTGGACCCCTTGGAACTAGAGCTATGGACAGTTGTTAGCTTCCACATGGGTGCTGGGATTTGAACTTGGGTCTTCTGCAAGAGCAGTCAGTGCTCTTAACCGTTGAGCCATCTCTCCAGTCCCAAGATGAGTTTCTTAAAGTCACACTTCATAAGGGGATGGAGCCCTGGCAAGCCCATCCATGTTTCTAAGACTACTGTGTTACGCTGTTGGCTAATCCTAAAATGCCTAGGTGTCTTCCATAAAATGGCATGCTTTTTGATTATAGCATGCATGCATTTTCTCATATACTTAACAATATATTTATTAACAAACTGTTTTATTATGTATAGTACTTATTATTTTAAAAGATTTGTTTATTTTTTTAAAATTTTGTGTATGTGTGACTGTGGGAGTTTATGTATACCATGTGCATGCAGGAACCCATGGAGGTAAGAAGAGGGTGCCAGATCCCCAGGAGCTAGAGTTACAGGCAGTTGTGAGCTGCCATGTGGGTGTTGGGAACTGAAGCTGAGTCATCTACCAGAGTAGTTAGTGCTCTTAACTTCAGAGCTATCTCTACAGTTCTTGTTATTATTTTATTGGGAGAGAGAGAGGTCTGTGGTGGGCACATGTGCCACAGTGCACGTGTAGAGGTCAGAGGGCAACCTTGGGGTCCATACTGGCCTTCTACTTTGTTTGAGGCAGGGTGTTTTTTCTTGGCCACTGCATAAGCCAAAGTAGCTGGCCCTAGGGCTTCTGTGAGTCTCCTGTGTCTGCCTTCCATCTTGCCATAGGAACATGGGGATTACAGACATGTGCTACTGTCCCTGGCTTTATGTGGGTTCTGGGGATTCGAACTGTGGTCCTCATGCTTGTACAGCAAGTGCTTTATTCACTGAGCCATCTCCCTATCTCTGTTTATTTATCTTTTGAGACAGGGTTGTGCTATGTAGCTCAGGCTGGTCTCCCATCTCCCCATCCTTCTGCCTCAGTCTCTCAAATGCTGGGATTATAGACATGTACGACTGTACTGGGATGATCTAGTGAGTTTTTAAAAATTTCCTTTATTCCTATTTACAAATCTGAAGGAATGGGCCTAATTTTTTCTGTGGAGATTTCTATTCTTTTTCTTTTTTTTTTTTTGAGACAGGGTCTCCCTGCAGCTCCAGCTGGCCTGGAACTCGCTATGTAGACCAAGTTAGCCTTGAACTCACAGAGATCTGCCTGCCTCTGCCTCCCAAGCATTAAAAGGTGTGTGCTACCACTCCCAGCTTGATTTCTGTTCTTTTTTAAAAAATATTTTATTATTTTCATTTTATTTTATGTGTATGAGTATATTGCCTCCATGTATGTAAGTGTACCCATGTTGTGTATTGCCCGAGGAAGTCAGAAGAAGGCATTGGATCCCCTGGAACTGGAGTTACAGATGGTTGTTAGTTTCCATGTGGGTTTTGGGAATTGAACCCGGGTCAAGTCCTCTGCAAGAGCAGCCAGTGCTCTTAACTACCGAGCCATCTCTCCAGTCCTCTGTGTGCTTTCTTTAGGATTCCGTGTCTGAACACAGTGCCTGGTCATGGTAGGTGTACCAATGGTAGAAAACATCAGGGTATGTTCAGGAAAGCAGCAATGTCTGAGGTGGGGGTGGCAGAGATAGGATGAGGGGGAAGCTGGGGTCAGGTCCTGGAGGGTCTGGCCTCACTGTTTTCCTAATGAGCTGGAACTGTTCCCTTTAAATTAAAGTGGGACATAAATTTGCATTTCCAGCAGACACAGCACTGGAGACTCAGAGGCCACCCCTGGTCTTGTGCAGTAACTGTTTTGACCATCATCTCTGCCATGAGTTTGGGAGCACAGATATCAAAACCATCACAGTTTGGTGCCATCTCAGGACTTGGCTTACCCTGGCAGGGCTGTTTGTGGTAGAAGAGAGCAGCCCTGGAGTGGCTGAGATGGCAAACTAAATGTGCCCCTGACACTACTGTAGGATGAGGGGCAGATAGGGCTGGAGGTGTTGGGCAGATGTCTGGAAGTCCTGCCTAGCAACCAGACTGTGGACATTCTAGTGGAGCAGGTTGAGGCCAGGGGAAACGTGGAGGAGAAGGTGAAAGCCCAAACTTCTTTTTGTTTCTGTGGAGGTAGAAACCTTAGCCAGATTCCAAGTGGGTGTGGTAGGGGCTAAGGGATTGTTCTAAGGGAGGTGGTGGCTTCTGCAGAAATTACACTCCCATCCTGCAGGCAAATAACCTAAAAACACCCTTCTTGCTGTGACTTTCTATAAACCATTTAATACCTCCAGGGACCTCCCAGGAAATATACTGGAACACTATTCCTATTTTCCCTTTGAGCTGGGAAAAGACTGACCTGGGACAATGCGAGATGGGCCAGACTGGCCTTGCCTTTCCAGGCTCCAGGCAGGGAGGATGTCTGGACTGCAATTCTTGTTTCCCTTGGCTGATACTGTGTCCTACCTGGGGATAGCTCTGGTTCCCAGTCATCATTTCTACAGAAATTGGTCCTGTGGTAGAGGAACTACCCTTGTCTTACAGCCCTAGGGGTGACAGCAGGTTTCAGGGTTCTGAATTATTGGTAGGAAAACAGGTAGGCAGGAACACCCCTAACTGCCCTCTGGGAGTACCAGGTCCTTGTCCCTTGAGTAGCATTTTGATGAGGCAGACATTATGACAGAATGGAAGCAGTAGACCCTCCCTCCCTGAGCTCCAACTTGCTTCTCCTGCTACTTTCCCTTGGAGGATCACGGACTTCCCAAATACAAAATCAACAAAAGCAGCCCCTCTGCCTACCAGGGAGCATGCAAGACACTAAGGAAGTGGTAATGTTGCTGTGATGACCATTCATCTTGGTATAGCCCAGGGAGATGGAGATAGGAAAAGGGACAAAATTGTCCTTCTGTCCTGCTAGATACCTGGTTGCCATGGTGACCGGAGCGACAGCAGATGAGACTTCTCCAGTGGTCACAAGTTGGACGATATGTCATCATTTCTTGATGAACCTTTGTCATGTGATTCTCTTCACTCTTTACTACAGGCTTATGATGGGAACTAACTATGACCATCCTTCCCATTTTACAGAGAAGGAGGGGTTAGGCCAGCAACTACAGTTCGCACAACTAGTATGTGGAAGTGACAGAACCTGAACCTGGGGATATGGAAGTCATAATGAGGTCAGGGCTGACACACTGGCCTCTATCACTAACTCTGGTTATCATCTTTGGAAATCCATTTCTCTTTGGGTAGAAACCCAAAGTAACCAACGGAAGGGCTCCTAGAAGCCCCACAGTATCTGAACTCATTATGGCCTATTCAATGGCAGGCACTGTGGCATCTCCGTAGTGCAAGGATTGTTACATTCCCATCAGGCAAACCAATTATTATCTAAGTCCCCACCACCAGTGAGTGACCATGCCGGGCCCCAACTTGACAGGAGGGGCTTGAGAAGGGTGGAGCTGGGGGAGGAACACTGCTGTCTGTTGGCGCTCAGGACACCAGTTTCCCTAGGATCACAGTGTCCCTGGTGTCAGGGAAGATCCTGAGAACGGTGGTATGCGGGTCAGATTTCTGTTGCCCCTGGCAGTTCCCACAAAAGTGAGGGTCCACGGGTTGGTTCCTGGCTCTGGATAAACATGGATTTGCTCTGAGATCCTTTGTACAGCTTGGGCAGATTGGTAATTTATTTCTTCTTTTTCTACTGTCCCATTTACAAATACTGATTGGCTCCAGTTTGCCCCTCAGGGTCAGTCCTTCTATAATATGTAGCTTCTCTTGTACTTTTTTCTTTGTAGCTGTAGGCTGTAAGTCCTTTCACAGCCTCCAGTAGGAGACATGCTTATGCATTAAAGAAATTATACACGAATCAAATGGTTTTATTGATAGCATTGTGTTGTTGTCAAACCTAAGACATCATTGATTCTAATATACATTGTTGGTCTTTATCATTGATTCTATAGTACTAAGCACAAAGCTCCCAGTTAAAGTACTCCATTTATTACAAGAGACACCTTCTGCAGAGACATGAACTGTGGGGAAAAAAAAAAAAAAACAAAAAAACAAACCCCTCCAAAAAAAAAAAAACCAAACCAGGACCAGGCATTTGAAATCATTAAAACACAGACTGTAGAGATGTTTATAAGCAAAATATGCAGGAATGTTTATACTAATGAATTAGCAGAAGAAAGGGCAATTCCAAACCTGCCTTGTGTTATTAGGTTGAGGATATCAACAAAGGAAAAACCTAAGCTAGGCCTTGCCTGGCACAGCAGGCCTGGGATATTTCACAGACTCCCAATAGGCTGTGGCTGATGGGAACCGGCCCTCTCTGGTTCCAGCAGTCACCTGGGGAATGTTCCAGAAAACATATTCCTAGGCCCCATCCCCAGCCTACTGTCTTTAAATCTGAGGCTGAGGTTCATGAATCTCTACTACATAACCCACCTCATGTCACCTCTTTCATTTATAATGAAGATCAAGGTCAGAGAGGGGAGTTGGCCAGATCAGGGCAGAAGAGTTGCTGCCAGCAGCCCTGGACTCTGAAGCTGTGCAGCTCAACCCTGAATTCAGTGCTCCCTGTCCTTTCCTCTCAAATAGGATATGGCCTCACACAGAGCTCAGGCTATAGGTTTCCAGACCCGGTCTAGCATTTGACATTAGCTTTGGTCTACCTTACACAGTACTGTTTTTCTGTTTGATGGATTGATAGTAGATAACACCTGCTGGATCCTGAAGGGACAACCTTGGTTTCCCTTGGTGTTATCCTCAGAGGGACCTTGAGTGAGCACAGGACTCTGTGGTTAGATCTACCCCTGGATCATGTTGAGGGGCCTTTTTCCCTATAGGCCATGTGGGAACAGTGCCAGTTACTGAAGAGTGCCTCCGTGTTTGCCCGCTGTCATCCTCTCGTGGATCCTGAGCCTTTTGTGGCCCTGTGTGAGAAGACTTTATGCACGTGCACTACAGGACCAAAGTGTGCATGCTCTGCCCTCCTGGAGTATGCCCGGACCTGTGCCCAGGAAGGGATGGTGCTGTATGGCTGGACTGACCACAGCGCCTGCCGTAAGTTTCTGCCTTCCCCTGTGCTGACACAGGCTGTCTGTCCTGGGGTGGTTGCACTCAGGATGTTAGGAGCAGTGGGCCTTCCTACCTTTGCAGTCAGCTGCCAGTGTCTACAGAGCCATATGCCCCTAATGGCTCCTTCCCTCTGTCACCTCTTCCAGGGGGCAGCGGCCCACAAGGGAGTCCTTTCTCTCATGGTCTGTGTGGAGGCCGAGCAGGTCTTTGAAGGCCTATTCCATGCCTCGCCTTTCTCTGTATCCCACGACTCCTTCAGGAAACCCATCCCCTGAACTCCCACAATGGTCTCTGCTTCTAACTCAGCATTTGGGATCTCTGTGCTTGACTTCACAGTCTGTCTGTCTGAATTAAGGAGGAGCAGGACGTTATCCAAGCTGTCCGTGAGGTGGTCCCTGAAAGACCGCAGAGCCTTCACTAAGTCTTCCCTCGTATTAACTTGTCCTTCCGGTCTCCAGGCACAGTGTGCGCTGATTCTTCTGCCTTGTAATGCCTGTTTGTCATCTCTTTATCTCACCCAGTCTGTAGTTACTACCACCATCTCCAAATTACCATGATTAAGTAGAGACTTCTCTGAGGTCCTTGCAAGAAACCTCTCTCCCCACACTGATCAAAAGCCATTTGATGGACACCTGGTCGGCTGTAATTATGCTGATAACGTGGACTGAGGGAGGCAGAGGACCTGGCTGATTTTGACACTATACACCTGAGTTTCAGTGTGTGGCAAACTGCTTTGACATCAGCTTGTCATTTCTGATGGGGATATAAGAAGGTGGGGGCTAGAATTGCCTTCTCTGCATGGGGAGTGGCTAGCTTCTAAGGCCTTTGAAGGCAGGGTGGAGGAGATTACTGATAGGCCCTGGAGAAGGGATTTGGGGCAATTGTTTGGGGTGAGCCAGGCCCTGCCAATGAGGAGTTGGGATGGATGGGATGACTAGAGAGATAGTTATGCAATAAGGCCCAAAGGCAGCCCTGCTAAAAAGCGGACATAGATGTGGGATGAGTGTCTCCATTCTAAAGTGGCCATGAATACAGTGTGCCCTGAGATGGTGGTAGGGAGCATTAGTTGGAGCTAATATCATGAGAAAGAGGGGCTCTCAGCAGATGAACTGATGACATCTTGCTGCTCCCTGGAAGCCACTCCGATCCAGCCCAGTATATGGTGTTACCTAAGAAAGTAGAGGTGGAACATTGAGGGACAAAAGACTACCAACCTTTCTTCATGGCGAACAGAAGACTAGAAGGCAGGAGTGGCTGGCCCAGGCACCCCAATGAGTCTCAGCCAGAGCCTTGCAAAATGGGAGATGTTCTTTTAGGAGAATGCTGGCTTCAGAGGGACCGTGGACCAGTGGGTTGGAGATCACCCCTGGAGCCCTGAAGACAGAGCAAACAGTCATAGGGGCCAAGCTGGCTGTGTTTGCAGTGTGGTTTGGAAGCTGCTGTGCTGGGGGACTGTTCTGGGAGAGTCCTTTGATTTGTCTTTCAGGCCCAGCATGCCCTGCTGGCATGGAATATAAGGAGTGTGTGTCTCCTTGCACCAGAACTTGCCAGAGCCTGCCCATCAATGAAATGTGTCAGCATCAGTGCATGGATGGCTGTGGCTGCCCTGGTAATAAACCTCCTACTTCATTTACAGACCTGAGACCTTGCCAATGCCAGTGGCTTAGGAAAAGAGATGTGTGTGTTTTTCCCTCATTGCTGAAATCAGAGGCCTTTTATTTAGTTTTTAAAAGTCTTTGTACAGAGGGATCAGGATTGAACTGGTCTTTATTTTATGTTTTCCTGTTGTACAGTATTCAGAAAGCACTGTGTCTAGGGAAATAAAAGAATGGTCTAGGCCCCAACAGTGGCTTTGTTCAGGGAGCTCCTGGCTTGATCTGAACTGTAGTTTTTATTTTCTGAGGGTTCAGGACAACAGACTGGGAGAAAGAGCTTATAAAATATGTCCTGGGTTAGCCATGTGCGCTCAGCTGCGAAGGTCTTTGCAGTAGAAAGTCTATCTCTGGGAGACTATGAGTGTTGGTCAGAGAATAAGTCCTGTGTTTTGACTTATGACGTCTCTACTTGACGATGTTGAACAAAACTATTAACTCTCTCAGTTCTCTTAGGGAAGAGAGATGAATAATCTCCCTCCTCTCTCAGATCATATCATGCAAGTTCTTTGAGCTTCCTGGAAAAAGCCTAAGCCTAGGCTCGCTAGTTCCCCTACTGTACAACTTTGAGCTAAGTTTTTTTTTTTTTTTTTTTTGTTTTTTTGGAAAAGGCCAAGCCTTGGGCTCGCTATTCCCCCTCCTGTAAACTTTTGAGCTAGGTTTTTTTTTTTTTTTTTTGGTCTTTTTGAGACAGGTCTCCCTGTAGCCCCAACTGGCCTGGTACTCGCTATGTAGACCAGGCTGGCCTCAAACTTACAGAGATCTGCCTGCGTCTGCCTCCTGAGTGCTGGGATTAAAGGCGGGCTCCACCACGCCCAGCTGAGCTATCTCTTTTACCCATCTGTAGCGTGGAGGTGCATAGCTCCCTCCCTCATATTACATTAATGCCAAAGATAAACACCATGGCATAAGTTCTTAGTTTTCCAAAAGAAGCACTCAGCTTCTCATGGGGTTCACTCATGGGGTTCTAGAGATAAAAGACAAATATGATGATGCCAATGTTGAGATCTTTGCCTTGATGCCCTTGAACCCAGAGGGCGAGCTCCTTGATGAAGGTCACTGTGTGCAGAGCTCTGAATGTTCTTGTGTGCATTCTGGAAAGCGATACCCTCCTGGTGCCTCCCTCCCTCAAGACTGCAACACATGGTAACTGAGGCCACAGAGTGTGGTCTATCCAGGGGCTTTGGGAGGGGGAAGCTGAGGTGGGAGGGATGACAGCAGGTAGACCAGGAGCTGGCCTGGGTTGAAGGCTGGGGAGAAGCTGGTAGTGGTTGGAAACAAGTGTTGGGCAATGATAGAATGCAAGGATTACATCACAGATATACCTAGAGGGTGGGGGAAGTCAGGGGGCCACATCCTTCCCATGCAGCTTTCTTACATCTTTAGCTGTCTCACCAAATGATGCTTTGGTAAATGATGTTCGCTCTCTGAAGATGGGCTGTATAATAACCCACACACAGCTTCTTTCTTTAAGTCTTTTATATGTTGGGTGGTGGTAAGTAGCAGTCCTTCAGTTTGTTCGCCTTGGAGCCTGGGAGAGCCAGGCTCCGCCTGTGCACCTGTCCTTGCTTAGTCTGGCATCTTTTCAAGAACACTTCTGTGTGTTACTTCTGGCCAGCTCTGCCTATCCCCTGTGTACCAGGGAAAGTATCTCCTTGTCCCATCTTTTAAAAATTAATTAATTAAATTTACTTTTATGTGTCTGAGTGCATTGCCTGCATGTATGTAAGTGCACTCATGTCGTGCAGTGCCTGTGGAGGCCAGAAAAGGGCATTGAATCGCCTGGAACTAGAGTTACAGATGGTTGTTAGTTGCCATGTGGGTGCTGGGAATCAAACCTGGGTCCTCTGGAAGAGCAGACGGTGCTCTTAACTGCTGAGCCATCTCTTCAGCCCCCCTTGTCCTATCTTTAGACCTCTCTCTGCTTGCAGCCTGTAGTGCCCATTGAACCCTCATGGGTCCTCCCTTCACTGACCAGCATGGCTCTGGCTCACCCTTTTTCCAGCTCTCTCTTGCTCCTTCCACCTACTGTGTGTAGGGGTAGAAATGGGGTTCCCTAGTACCAGAACAGATTTTTTTTAGGGCCATTAGATACCCTAGGTTATTCTATTTTATTTTTTCTGTTAGTTCCTTTCTGTCACATCTTCAATGTCCTATACTACCCTAACCTCCTAAAGGCCACTCTGGCACCTGCTCCTTTCTTCTGGATCCCTTCCCTGGGGAGGGCAGTGTTACATGGTGAGCTGTGGTTCACCCAGGTGCCCTTCTAGCAGAACTAAGAATGACCTGTGGGGTTCTTTTTCCCAACAGCATCTGCAGAAACAGCCTGTGGATCTGTAGCAATGAAGAATGCCCAGGTAGGCTCCAGCGTGTTCTTTCTCTCCTCTCTCTCCACGGAGAGGTGTGACTTTCCTGGCTGGACAAGGCACCCACAACCAAGTAGGGAATGGGTGACTCTTCTGCAAGACCTCCTGACCTCAGCCCTGGTTTGGGATCCCAGCTGTGCTGCCTGCTTCTTGTGGGCCAAGCTGGGCACCCTGCACTAGCCGAAAGGGGAGGAGGCTGCTCTTCCCACCTCCTGTTTGCTGTGGGGATTAAGGTTGCTGAGCTGTTAGACCTGAAAGGCAGATGCACCAAGCAAAGAAAACAGAATTCTTTGGAAAATCAAGAGGAAGAAGGTGTTGATAACTCTTTTAGCTTGAAGTAAGAATCTAACCAGAATTTTTTTTCAGGCCAAAGCTACATTCCTGCAGCCCAAACAGACTGGGCTTGACCACCTGTCCCAATACACTAATTAAACAGACACATAATGGTGAAAAGCAGATGGAGATTTAGTTAATGATACTGCATTGGGAAGGGGAACAGACATAGAGGTCTGGTGTACCCCAAGTCTGTTTTCAGGGTATTGACATGAAGGACTTCCCAAGAAGTCCTTACCACTGTCATACACCATTGCTTGCATGATCAAACCAGTTCCCACAAGATGACCGCTTCTGCTCCAGGTGCAACTTATCCCTCACAGATGATTGCCCTCATCTCCTGGAGTTCTCTCATGGGAGGTTCTGCTAGTCCAGAAATGCAAGGTGATAAGAGGAAAGGTTAACAGTGACATTTCTGTCCCTTCAGCCAAAGGTGACAGTTGCAAGGAAGGTAGAGACCCCTGGCTTCATCTTATTCTTAGTTACCTTGTGGGTCCAAGTGAGGAGTCAATGCTTTTTAACAAAGGCAGCTCCTAAGTGTCATTTCAACAGTTTTATAGGAATTTTCTGGAATGCTTGATATGCAGCTCATGACATGCCCCAAGAACCAGGAAACTAGGACATTGAAGGATCCATCCCCCATGGATCCCATGCCTGGAAACTCTGCTTAGGAAAACTACATTATAATATCTGCCCTTTGCTTTTACCACTGTTTGGCCTTGACTCTATTTACTGCAAACTTTGCCCATTCAAAGCTCCCTGTGCCTTACCCTCAATAACTCTAGATTTTCCTTGTCGTGTTCACCCCTGTGGTGTTTTTGATGTGCTGGAAACTGTGTTGAGGGCTTTTCATGTTACCTCATTGTTACAACCTATGAGTTTGTTCTCACCTTGCAAAAGAGAAAATAAACCCAGAGAGGTTAAGGGATTTTTCTCAGAGTCATACAGCCTCAAAGAGGCAGAGCCAGGACTCAAACTTATAATTGCCTGGCTTCTACCTTTGCTCATCTCTTTACTGGTCCTAGACCAGAAGTGACTTGGATACCTGGAACCATATTTGAGATCTGTGGGTTATAGGCTTTAGGGTCATTTAAAACCTTATATAGTGCCTGTCACACTGAGAAAATTCTGGCACTTGATAGGAACTAGATCAAATACTTTATCCCAAGGATAAACAACTAGCCCTGCCTGCTCTCTTTTGGGGGAATTCTTGAAGAAGCAGATAGGATAAAAAATTGCTATTGAAAAGTGATATGTGTGCTCCATTTGAACATAATCACACCGCATGAAAGAGTCGTTTGAAAAAAATTAAGCTGCTGCAATTAACCCATGTAAAACTTCCAATAGCTAAACATCAGGTGTCCATTGCATAAGATCTGTAAGCCACAGTGGACAGAGCAGGACTTTAGCTTGCTTTGTTTTTTTCAGACTAACTACCAAGGAGTCTTAACACTGGTAACTTCAGATGGGGGAATCTTTCCTCTATTAGTCCTCTATCCATTTATCCATTTATCCATCCATCTGTCCATCCATCCATCCATCCACCCATCCATCCATCCATCCATTCTGCCACTGTATCCACCCATCATCCATCCATCCATCCATCCATCCATCCTGCCACTGTATCCACCCATCATCCATCCATCCATCCATCCATCCATCCATCCATCCATCCATCCATCCATCCATCCATCCAATCATCCATCCAGCAAGCCAGCTAGCCACTGTACCCAGCCATCATTCTTCCATCAATTCATTCACCCAGTCACTGTATTCATGAAGGTCTAGTCTGAACAATACCATCCCATGGTCTTCTGTTCAAAAGCTAGAAGAGCGTTGCTGAGGATTCCGTATAGGCTCTTGACACCATACAGCCTACAAGCTTCCCTTTTGTAACCTGAGTCCCTTCCCTTCCTCTGCAACATACCCTGCCAGGAAAACCGTGTTGGTATCTAGGAGCTGGAAAAGTTTTGTTAGAGTGAACATGGAGGGAGCCTGGTTGTTACTAGAGACTATCCTTCAGATGAGTAGAGCCCTTGTTACAGAATTTCAAGCTTCTACTAGAAGACTGTGGAAGGTAGTTTTCTAGAGCAGAAGGTGGTTGAGAAGAGGGCTTGTCATCTGTGTCCCAAATCTCTTGGCCACGTAAAGGTGGCCTTTGGATGCAGGCAGTTTGGTTGGAATTCTGCTGGTCACTTACTAGCTGGATGACTGTGACCAGCTATCCAATAATTCACAGCAGAGCTTCCTAATCTGTGGCAGATTCACTCCATGGCTGTTAGTACCTGAGGCATAGCAAGTCCTCCATCAGTGTAGGCCAGAGCCATCGTCCCAGAGCACAGAGCAGTAGTGTGCTTAGGCAGGGTGAGAGCAGGGTGGAGATACATGGCAGGCTGGAGGGAGCGGCATGAGGTGAGATGAGGTAGGAGGAAGCAATGGGGCAGGGAATGGAGGTGTAAGAAAGTGAGATGGAGCTGGTGTCACATGCCTTTAATCCTAGCAGTTGGGAGGCAGAGGCAGGTGGATCTCTGTGTGTTCAAGGCCAGCCTGGTCTACATAGTGAGTTCAGGCTAGCTGGAGCTGCAGGAAGATACTGTCTCAAAAAAAAAAGAAAGAAAGAAAGAAGAAAGAAAGAGAAAGAAAAAGAAAGAAAAAGAAAGTAAGATGGATCTCCCTGGTGGAGGGGAATAACCTTAGTGCAATCTGTTACTCATTTTGTTCAAGGTAATTTTATTTATTTATTATTTATTTGTTTACTTATTTGTTTGTTTTATACTGGGGATGAAACCCAGGGACTCCTACATGGTAGGCAAGTGCTCTACCAACTGAGCCACACCACAACCCCTGTTCAGGACAGTTTGATGGATTCTAATTCAGTCTTATGATTCCACCCTGGGATTTAAGGTTGGTCTGTTCCTAAGCCTGCAGAAAGAAAGATACACCTCACATCTCTGGCTAATAGGCAGTAGGAGCCTCTCCTGCAGTACTGTAGGTTCTGAGGTACCTGGGCTTACCTGGAATTCTGCCTCTCCAAGGTCTTGAAGTCTCCTGTGGCCTGTTTCTATCCTTGTTGTGGCCTCTGGAGTCACATCACCGCTCCTTCAGGCCAGGGTATTGGGTTTCACAGCAAGATCTTCTACCCAGCCTCTGTGCTGTCCCCAAGTCCCTTGGCAGGTGCCCACACTGACCAGGATCAAAGTTTTCAGGGTTAGCCCTGAAGAGGTCAGACTTATGAAAAACCACAGAAGCCAGCCCATGGGGCAGTGCAGGATCAAGTGCCCATGTTCAAAGTGCTCTTTAATCACTTTGGAAGGTTGGGCTGGTTTAACTTCTCCGTGCTTTGGTTTCCTCGTCTGTGACCTGGGAATGATAGCACTCCCTTAGGAGCCAGCGAGGTGCTCCCACAGAGTGCAGAGATGCATTGAGCCTATTTGGTAAGAATTGTATTACGATGAATTACAGGCCAGCTTGGAGGAGCCTCGTGTCTGCAGGAAGTCTGTTTCACATTGCTTGAGACCCGTGGACTGACATTTCTGTGGGAAAAGGGGAAGGCTAATAACCAGACCAGAGCAGCCTGTCTAGGGCCCACTAGCTGCACACTGAAGGGTCTGTTTATAAGAAAGAATGTGCATCTACTATGAGATTTTTTTTTCTTTCCTTCCTCCTCTAATTCATCCTCATCCTCTTTTCTTCTTCCTCCTCCTTTCCTCCTTCTCCTCTTCCTCTCTTCTCTACCTCTCCTCCTTCTGTACTTCTTATCCCCTCCCTTCTTTTCCTTCATTTAAAGGAAGGATTATCTTTATTCATGTACTAATCACCTTGCTTTAAAAGCCTTTAGAAGGCTCTGCCTTGTGTGCCACCATCAGGTGGCTTGTCCTTAGCTGCCTGCCTGTAAGTGAATGTCCTAGGTGTCCTGCTCTGGACAGAGGAGCATGAGCCTGGTCATGTGGCCCATTGTTTGGGTGGATGTCCCAGTTCCCCTGGCCAACCATTACCCTGCAGCTTACCCGTCCATTTCCTTGGGTTTCCTGAGTTTGCAGTTCAATCCCTCAGTTGTACCAGGGTGATAAGCTACACATAATATTTAGACTTCTGACTCCCTAGAAATAAATCAGTGGGGTCAGGGCAGGAAACCAGCTCAGAGGATTAGATTCTAGAAAGTTTTGCTTTCGAACAGTTGCACTGTTTTCTCATTGACCCTTCTTTTCCTTGGCATTGTCAAAGAGGGTGGAAGTCCAGTTTTGTACTCAGATAAGAGTGCTCTTGACAAAACAGAGATGGCTGGGGAAGGATTCCCACCCATTTCACCGCAGCTGGGTCAAGACATTTGACATAAATGACTATACTGCTTTATTTGTTCAACGATGGGGATTACAGGAAAACAACCATTTAAAAAGGCTTTCCTGTGACATTGCTGGGTTCCAGGACATGCACAATGAGTCAGGGTGACCCTTGGCCCTGTCGTTTACTGTTCTGATTTCCACCATCACTCACCCCACTCTTGTTCTTTTAGGGGGCATAGCATAGGAAGAGATGTGATGGGAATGGGCTGATGCCTCTGTAGTTTTTCCAAGTTTATCTGGTTGGTTTTGCTCCCTTGCTCTGCCATCCTGGGAGGGGTCAGGGGTCATGGAGGCCATACAGAGTGACTCTTGCTGGTCACCTGGGGGTACTTGTCCCGACTCCTGCCTTCAAATGTTCCCAAGACAGAGCCAGAGCTGGATCCAAAGTTGTACAGTCTAGGTTGGCCCAGCTCTGCTTGTCAGTGAGAATATGGATGTGAGTGGTAGGCAGTGGGGTCCTCTGATGCTTGTCCTTGTCACATGGGGAGCAGGAACCTCCCTGTGGCCTTCTGGGACCAGTATCAACCCCTGGAGATGAACCCTCTGGAGCCTTAGGCTCTCCTTAGGGGAACGTCAGGGTTTGGCTGCACCATGGAGAACTCAGCCTTGGCTGTGTGGATTCAGGGGTGGCGAGGTTGCAAAAGCCACCCACTTCATGGGACACACATCATTTCTACAGAGTAATGGTGGAAATGAGAGAAGGGGCAGAAACACACAGCTGGAGGTTGACAAGAGAGCATGATGTCTACCTTAGCATTGGTCCATTACCAGTACTGAGGATGGGGATGCCCCAATCTGGATAGAGACATTGGCAGGGTCTTCTGCATGGACACTGTCTTGAATGTATGGGGCCAGGGGTGGGCCCTGGGAGGATGGACTAGTAGAGTGGCAGTTGGGTGGGAGGGAACATGTGCCCCCCTCCCCTTCCTGCAAATGTGTCAGCATGGGCTGGGAACTGGCCTTGTGGAGGTCAGTGTTGCCTGGGCATTGGTGAGGTCATGGCCCCCTACTGGCCCTGAATGGGTGCCTCTTGGTTAGGCTAGGGATGTGCACCTGTACAGAAGGGAGCCCTTCCATTCTTCAGTGGCCTCACACAAACCCAGCCTGCCTTTTCTCTCTATTCCTGTTTCTGGCTGTCAGCCTTCATGGGTCTCCTGAGGTGGGGCTGTCCCTGGACCCCTACACATGCCAGTTTAGTGAGACCTGTGTTTCTGGACAGCCCCCTTTGTCCTGCTGGGCTGAGCTCTGCCCAGGCATCCAGGCTGCCATCTGTAGCTACTCTGATATTGAACAGAGAAGATTGGAGCCCTATGAATGGGTTTTGGGAGCAATGAGGTGACAGGAGCTAGGAGTTGGGGGCCTAGGGTTCTAGCCCTGGCTTCACCACAGACACAGTTCAGCGTTGTCATCTCCTTTGGGTGTGCCACCTATCACAGTGGGCATTGAACTGTGACCAGCTCTGACATCTTGTGGTTTGAGAGTGGAAACTGGCTTAGAATCCTTTCCCAGGATGCAGTTTAGATTAGTGTGGGGAAAGGATAGCAGGGAGGCTTGGAAGGAGGGACCCTCTGCTTGTATGTGCGTCCCACCTTGTCACTTTGGAGCCTCTCCCCTTACTTCTTCTTCTGGGTCCCTCCAGGGGAGTGTCTCGTCACAGGCCAATCCCACTTCAAGAGCTTTGACAACAGGTACTTTACCTTCAGTGGGATCTGCCAGTACCTGCTGGCCCGCGACTGCCAGGACCACTCCTTCTCCATTGTCATAGAAACCATGCAGGTGAGCTTGGCCAGGTTGCCAGTGAGGAGGTTGCAGAGCTGCATGGTGAGGGGGCAGCATCCTGGAGGCTTAAGCATGTGCCCCCTGCATAGAAGGGAGCCTTCCCATTCTTCAGTAGCCTCACACAAACCCAGTCTGTCATACCCTTCTTAGGCACTGAAGGACGGCATCGAATTTGTCATTCACAAAGGTCAACCCCTTCAGGTCCAGTCTGTGTTCCTCCCCACCCCATAGCTAAACCTCTGTTCTCTGGACCTGGGAGCTGACTGGGGTGGGGGCCATAAGGGTCCTCTCCTCTTAGGAGCACGACTGTATTTTGTTTAGGCATCCTCCAAAGATGAAGGTAGTCACAGGGCCTCCCCTAGTGTGGAAGCCCCTGATTTCTTTGGATCAGTAGGCCCAAGGAGTAAGAAGAGCTGGGGGCCTAGTGTTGGCTGTAAAAACCAGTACAAGTATGAGAAAAGGAGTGGGCACGACCTGAACTTAGGGCCTTCTTGTACAACTCGGGAGCCCCATACTCACAGCATCTTCTGTGAGCACAGAGGTGTGCTATGCAAGAAGGCCCAGGTGCTCTAGAGTTGGGGATAGATGCTGGGCTGGTAGGGGCTCTGTGGTAAGGCCACTCTGAATCTCCACTTGTTAGTGTGCTGATGACCCAGATGCTGTCTGTACCCGCTCCGTCACTGTAAGGCTGCCTGCCCTGCACAACAGCCTTGTGAAACTGAAGCACGGGGGAGGGGTCTCCATGGACGGCCAGGATGTCCAGGTCCCCCTCCTGCAAGGTAAGCTCACATCTCCTGCACTAGGCCTGGCAGGTCCCCCACAGTGTATCTCTTTCTCAACATCCATCCCTCCCTGCTGCGGGCACCTACCTCTTCCATGGGAATGTGATGGAGGCTTAGCTCGGGAGGGCCGGGTGGGTATCCTGGGTCTCCTTCTGTCCCTGCATGTAATGAAGACTTCTGGAAGCAGAGGCTGGCACGAGTGAGAAATATGAAGGGTCAGATCAAAGCATGCCACTTGGGGCAAGTCCATGTGACCCTCTGCCTTGTGGAGAAAACCTCCCTGTCCCACATCTTCACCCAGGTCACACGTAAACTGCTTTTATATGGCACAACTCCCAAACTTTACCTTCAAGGGGGCTCCCAGATGCCTCTCCTTTTCCATCATTCCTGGCCACCCTATGGCCAATAATCCTTTGTGCACAGAGGAGGAACTGGAGCACCCTGCATTGCATGTCCACATGTCCACATGTGTTTAATGCTGAGTGTGACTCCTCGAGAATGCATGTGTTCCTCCAGGTCAAGGTGCAAGCTTCTATGTGGCCCCTACTTTTCCATAGCAGCAGGATTTGCTATGTTCAGCTTTGAACAAAGTCATTTAGCCAAGAGGACTGAGTAAGCCAGCCTGGAAGCCAACAGGGGCCCAGGGGTACTCAAATGTCAGGTATAGTGGTGGAGGGATGTCTCAGCAGGCCTGAACTGGAGTTAGAACTCTGAAGCTTCTTCTGCCCTCTTGTGTCCATAAAGGGAATTACTGGTCATGGTAGAACACAGACTTCTTTGAGAATCTGTTTACCTCTATCCACCCTGGTCACCCTTCCTCCTGAGACCCCCGCTTTCAGCATTATGGACACCCATCTGCTTCTAACTCCTTGTTGGTCATTTCCGTAGTACTTTGAGACATCACATATCCCCCACAATACACCTGCCTGTCACCCACTGTCCTCTTCCCACCTCCTACATTTTGTTTTCTGGCTTCTAGGTGACCTCCGCATCCAGCACACAGTGATGGCTTCTGTGCACCTCAGCTATGGGGAGGATCTGCAGCTGGATTGGGATGGCCGAGGGCGGCTGCTGGTGAAGGTAGGTCCCTTCCCAAGCTATGGCCTCTCTGGTGTCGGACCCTTACAAAGTACCCTTTGTACTCTGGGTAAAATGGCTTTGTGTGGTGGGAGAAGAATTCCTTTCTCCTCATGCCCTACACCCCCAGAGTGAGGAACAGGCCTCTCTTGTGTGTGAGAAACTCATGTTTATTTTCTGGATGCTCCTTTTTGGCCCTGGGGGTTTCTTCCTTCTGGGGCTTGGGGATCCTGTTGATCTCTAGTATGGAGCTTCAGGTTCCTGTGGGAGTGGCAGTAAGGCAGATTTGCTGGCCAGTTTCCTGGCTGCAGCAAGACCTGGGATTGGGGGATGGCCTGGGGAGGCAAGGGACCCAGTTCAGACCCGGAATCCTGCCCATTCCCCACCTGGGGCAGGTCACATAGCGATCTTCCTCATTCTTTTCTGAACCACTGGGCCTATGCATGTGTGGGCCACATCCTCTCATTCTTCCTGGTTTTATAATCATGTTGGCTAGCAGCCTGTACATTCCACTGGGCTTGCAAAGGCCCTGGCAGATGAGCGGAGCAGATACCATTATCATTAGTGCCATTTCATAAGAGGCAATCGGGATGTCAAGAGCCACCAATAGCCAGCACCCAGCCTGTGTCTTCCCATTAGACCATGACCCTCACTGGTCTCAGGGTGCTCTTGCACTCTTAAAAATGACTGATGAACAGGGGCTGGAGAGATGGCTCATTGGTTAAGAGCATTGACTGCTCTTCCAGAGGACCTGGTTTCAGCTCCCAGCACCCACATGGCAGCTAACTACCATCTGTAACTCCAGTTCCAGGGGATCTGACACCCTCTTCTGACCTCCACAGGCACTGCACTATGTGGGTGCACTTACATACCTGAAGGCAACTCACTCATACATAAAATAAAAAAATTTAAAAATAACTGAGGAACAGGGATTGGAGAGGTGGCTCAGAGGCTAAGAGAAGTGGCTGTTCTTCCAGAGGACCCAGGTTTGGTTCCCAGCACCTATATGGGTGCTCTGTAACTCCAGTTTCAGGGGATCCAGTGCCCTCTCTGGCCTTTGTAGGCATTGCATGACATAGGCACACTTACATACATGCAGGCAAACCATTCATACACAAAATAAAATAATTTAAAAAATGATTGAGGAAGGACCAATCCCATGATCTTTAGCAAGGGTTATATATATTGATGTCTACCATATTAAAAGTTAAATCAAAGTCGAGTATGGGGGCACATGCCTATAATCCACTCAGGAAGATGAGGCAGGAGTTTGAGTCCAGCCTGGGCTATTTAGTGAGTTCCAGCCAGGCCTGAGATACATAGCAAGGCTCTGTCTTGAAACAAAACAAAACAGCTGGGTGTGGTGGTACATGCCTTTAAGCCCAGCACTCAGGAGGCAGAAGCTGGTGGATCTCTGTGAAATTGAGGTCAGCCTGGTCTATGTAACAAGTTCCAGGTCAGATGGGGCTATAAGAAGACCTTATCTCAAAAACAAAACAAACAAAACAGAAACAAATACAACACAACACAACAAAACAAACCCAAACAACAAGAAGTTAAATCAGAGGCATTAAAAACATGCCTATATTAACTCATTTATACTATAACCCAAAACCCAGTAACCTCATAGACATTCATAAACATTTTCTTTTGGAAAAATCAATTAGACAAGGACCAGGAAACAATATAAAGCAGGAAGACGAATACCATGCTGTGCATTTCTGCAAATCTCTTTAATGATTCACTTAATAGAAGACAGCTGCATTCTCATCTACTTCTGCAATCAATCTTCAACAGCATTTTACATCATGGAGCCTCTGGAAAATTCCAGCATGTACTTGTAAGAGAGACGGGAAAGACAATAACAAATTCACATTACTATGAAAATATTCAGCCTTGACAACACCTGAAAAGAGCCTCAGTGACTATCATGGGTCCCAAGACTACATTTTGAGAATTGCTGTCTCAGATCATACCTAGGATCCACGGAGAGCCCCTCCCACATGCTGGGGGGGGGGTGTCCCTGCTCCCCTGGGTCCTTGGTGTAATTCCAGCATAGGTGTGGAAGTCTTCATGAGATGCTGTTTCCTCCATTCTCAAAGGGTCATTTATTCTCATATCTTAGACCCTTGAGAAGTTAAACGAACTCTTATTTTATTTTGTAAGAAATAAATCTGCAATCACAGAGCAGCAGTCAGGAAGGGCTGGGAGAGCCTCTTGTCACCCCATTTCCAGTTAGAACTAGAAATCTGGCATTGCTGGAAGTCACAGTGACTTGTGGGGGTCTCAGATCAGGGTCACATGGATACAGAGCTTCAGTCTCTGGGTCTGGGTCTAATCCTATCCTGCCTTCTGCTCCCCAGGCCTCCAGGGAGTGCTTCAGGGGGTCATTCTAGTTTCCCAGCACCCACCATGGGGCAGAGAGGGTGCACTGGCTCTGGTAGTTTCTCCCCTTGAACTTCCTGTCCTGGGCAGCTGTCCATCTTAATCTCAGGCTTCTCTGCTCTTTGGGTCTGCTCTGAGGAGGAGAGAGCTAGACCCACTTCTGTGAGAATGGGCTGTAGGGTTCTCTTTGGAGTAGGTTTTGATCAGCTTAGCTAAGAGGAAGAGGTGACGGAAGTTCACGGGTTGGTCAGGTGACCTCATAGCCTGTGGGTTTGTTTTACGATTAGTTTTGCTATGAAAGGGTTTGTTTGTTAAGAACAGGTGAGGGGACAGGAGAGCACAGGACTGGCCCCTGCAGCTTGGGGAGGAGATGGCTGGAGGCAAACAGGCCTTGGGCCTCCTACCTGTGAGTGATACTCACTCCCTGACTCTGGGCACCTGGGGTCTAAGCAGCAGGTGATGGTCAGATGGTCTATGGAAAAGGACCTGGGGTAATCTCCACTACGTAAGAACTGTCACAGAGCAGAGGTCTATTTTAAATAGTATCTTCTCAAAATGTCTCGAGCACACACACTGCTAGGCCTCTTAGCCAGCATGGCCTGGTGGTCCTGGGTACATCCACACTTCCAACCCTTGACCATGCTGGCCCCTGAAATAGGCAGAGGGGACAGAAAGTGAAATCATGTTCAGAGTAGGGAATGGTAGGGATGGATGGCAAGTGTGGGTGATGAGGGGAACTCTGGGGAGCCTGGGGGCACCTGATGTGTCTAAGAAGGAAAAAGAGAAGAGGAAAGATGCTGAGAAGGAGGTGGGATGAAGGCTTGTCGCTTGTTGCCAGTTTGCTGGGGTGGCCTTGACAGTTGGCATTGTTTCATCTGGGATTAACTAGGGAGCCTATCTGTATAATTTTTTTTTTTTCATTTGTTCAACCATTCATTCAACTTGGCAAATATTTAGAATGGTCTCCACCACCCCTGTGCTGCATATGCTCCATTAAAATAAATGCTTTACAATTCTTACCCTCAAGGTGATGGTGTTAGGAGGTGGGGCCTTTGGGAGGCAATGAATTCACTAGTGCAGAGCCCTTGTGAATGTGATTAGTGCCCTTATAAAAGAACCCCAGGGAGCCAGCCAGCCCTTTCCACTATGAGAGGATGCAGGAAAAGTACCATCAATGAACCAGGAAGCAGGGCCTCTGCCAGATGCTGAATCTGCTGGTTCTTGATCTTGATTTCAGATCTGGAGTCTAGCCTCTAGAACTATGAGACAGTTTCTGTTGTTTATAAGCTTACCTGGTCTATGGTATTTTGTTACAGCCTGCATAGATGAAGATAGACACTACTCTATAACAGATGCTGAAGGTACAGTGGTATAATAGAGAAGCAAAATGCTTGCCTCATTTAGTTTAAATTCTAATGGGGGGTGGGGGAAGACAGATAATAAACAAAGCAAATGAGTATAATATAATCATATTAGAATAAAACCTGGGGAGAGAAAGAAAGCAGGGAAGGGGCAGGAAGTGCCAGGTAATTAAATTAAAATTTTATTTATTTTTATTTAATGTGTATGAGTGTTTTGCCTATATGTATGTAAGTACACCCATGCATGCAGTACTCACAGAGGCCAGAAGAGGGCATCGGATCCCCAGGAACTGGAGTTACAGGCAGTTGTTAGCAACCGTGTGGGTGCTGGGAACTAAACCCAGGTCCTCTGCAAAAGCAGCCAGTGCTTTTAACTTATGAGCCATCTCTCCAGCCCCTGGGGTGGTTACATTTTAAGCAGGGAGGTCAGTGAAGGCCCTGGTATCTGGTGTATGTGACACATAGTATTCGTAAAACAAACAAGAAAGCATCGCTCTGTCCCCTTTCTTACTAAAGATACTTGGGTACATTTTGTGTGTGTGTGTGTGTGTGTGTGTGTGTAAAACCCTCCATATGTACTTTGTTAAGTCAGAGCTGGAATCTGGAAGGGGCTCCAAGAGATGGCTACAGGGCCATTCTCACCCCATGAGGCTTCAGGACAGCAGTCATCTGGCCATATTAGTTACCCACATAGCTTGGGTCTAGACCCTGCTACTTCTTCAGTCGTGGTAGAAATGAGCAGGCACCACTTCTTGGCCTCGGGTGTGCACTATGGGCTCAGAGCTTCTGCTTATCCGAGATCAGGTCAGACAGTGAGTGAGGAGGCTGGAAGCCAAGCCCTGCTTCCTTCCTGGTGCCCTAACTGACTTCTCTCCAGCCATCACCTTCACTGTTCCCTTAGGAGGACTTTTCCCTTCAGTGATGCCCTGCAGCTCAGGTAAAGACAGGAGGTTAAAGGGAGGGTGTTGCTTCTGGACAGCAAACATGAGCTCTAGGGGGCCTGGACCACACCTAGCTCAGCCTGCCTTACCCTCCTACCAACATGTGTGCAGTGGGCAGGTGCTGAGGCTTAGACCATGTCCTCTGACCGGCCTGGATGTAGAAAGCACATGGATTGGTGCTCTCAACCTACTTAACTCTTCTCAGCTTTGCAACTCTCTCTAGGAACATGGGCAAATCATTTTTCTTCCCAGGGCCTCTGCTACTTCTGTAAAGTGACTAGATAATTAAAAAAAAATTTTATTATCTTTTTATTTTATGTGTATGTGTGTATTACCTGCACGTAGGTAAGTCCACCCGTGTCGTGCAATGCCCGCAGAGGACAGACAAGGCTGTTGGATCCTCTGGGACTGGAGTTACTAGCAGTTGTTAGTGGGTGCTGGGATTTGAACCTGGGTCTTCTGCAAGAACAACCAGTGTTCTTAACCGCAGAGCCATCTCTTCAGCCCCAAGTGACCAGATAATTCTTAGAATCCTTCTGGCATGACTTTTCTCTGGCCAGTGGTTGAAGGGCAGGAATAGCACCTGTATGCAGGAGGGTTTCCCTTGCTTTTGCAGCCTAGAACTTAGCTGTAGTATCATGCTTACTTTTCGCTTCAGGACCATTTTTGGTTAAACCCAATTCATTGGCTAAATGAAATGGCTGCTATGTTGGGGTCAGCTGATCCACAGCGGTCTGGTTTCTCCCTTCAGCTGTCCCCCGTCTACTCCGGCAAGACCTGTGGCTTATGTGGGAATTACAACGGCAACAAGGGCGATGATTTCCTCACCCCTGCCGGCCTGGTGGAGCCCCTGGTGGCAGACTTTGGAAACTCCTGGAAACTTCACGGGGACTGTGAAGATCTGCACAGGCAACACAGCGACCCCTGCAGTCTCAACCCGCGCCTGAGTAAGTGAGCCAAAGAGTCCTGGGGTCTCCCATGTTCTAGAACATTCCACGGGACTATAGCCTCTTGGAGGTGAACATGGAGCAGTTGAGTGGGCCTTTGATTTTACAGTATTTGATCATATACAACTGGGCTCGTTTCCTTTTCAGAGTCTTGTATTGAATATCCTCTGTGTGTAAAACCCCAAGGAAAAAAAAAAAAAAAAAAAAAAGAATAGCGCATAGTTTCTGGACCAGAATGGTCCCGGTCCAGAGGGGCCGGGAGCAAAGAGCTCAGAGTTGAATTACAGTGGGATAGTAGGTAGCAGTAGCCTCGGCTGTCAGCTTCCGATACCTCGAGCACTTTCTCTGTGTTCAGTAGTATGTGTTGGGGACATGCAGTTTTGTGTGAGTCAGACTCAGAACGGTCAGTTGGCTGCGGAGGCCAGAACCAGACTTGAGTTTGCAGCATCTGCTGACAGAAAGCAGGCATAGGGGATTCAGAGCAGGAACCCATGCTACTGGGGCCGGGTGGGTTGGGGTAACGGGTGTCAGAGCCCCCTGTGGTTGGCCCCAGAGGGTGTGGCGGGGCTCTGTCTGTCTTGCATCAGCCACTCTCTCTCTCTTTCGCGCCAACAGCGAGGTTTGCGGAGGAGGCTTGTGCACTCCTGACATCCTCCAAGTTCGAGGCTTGCCACCGTGCTGTCGGCCCTCTGCCCTACCTGCAGAACTGCCGCTATGATGTCTGCTCCTGCTCCGACGGCCGGGATTGCTTGTGTAGCGCTGTGGCCACCTATGCAGCGGCCTGTGCCAGGAAAGGCGTGCACATCGGGTGGCGGGAGCCAAATTTCTGCGGTGGGTGACCCCATGTCTTCCCTTCCCTCACCCCCCGACCTCCAGTCAACTCATTCAAACTCTGACGCCCTGTGGGTCTGGTTTCACTTGTCCTTTTCAAAGCACTTGCTTTGAATTATTTTCATTTGGAGACAAGCCTGCGTGTTTTGACAAGCCTGAGCTGTGGGACAATTCATTTGCAGCCATTTCTCCCTGTCATTTGCTACCAGGACGCGGTGGTGGGGACTGGGGTGGGTTCGTCCGCAGAACCAGTGGTTACTCTGTCCTGTCTCAGGAAGCAAATTGGAACTCCTAACCAGAGCCCTAGCATCTCGGGAGACGTACTTTCCTTGCCATGCAGATTGCCCCTGACTGCTGCCGTCTAGTGTCCATTCCTCGTATGGCAGGTTGTGGAGTGAGGGATGTCCTAAACTCCAGTGGTTGGGTCTGTGGAAGGCGATGGAGAAATGCAACTTACAATCCTTTGCTTATATAATTTCAGGCGGGCCATTAGTAGGTCCTGGCCCAAATCTTTGGCATTGTATAAAGTTATGTAAAGTTGAATAATATTGCTGTAATTGACTTTGCATCTATCCTCTGCACCAATCTGCTGTCATCAGAGCAAGTATCTGCTTCTACACTGTGGTCCCTGGGTAGCTAGAGTGTATCTCCTTTGTAGCTCTTCTTTCTCTGGGGACATTTGATGAATGCCCAGACCTTAGAAATTATGAAATATGAACTAGAAGGACTTCCTTTTTGAGGCTCTGAGGGAAGGGCTGAGAAGATGAAGAGCAGGGACAACCGGGGAAGACTTTCTTGGGGGAGGTGCTCTTAACCAAGGTTTTACAAAAGTGCTTTGTAGCAGAGATAAGTTGAAAGAATAACAGCACTGATAAAGTGAGGCAGACATTCTATAAGGGTAAGGTATAGTGAAAACTCTGAGTTTTACGGTGAAGTAGACTAAAATGTGTGAAGTCTAAGCAGTCTCTGAGAAAGAACAGAGACAGAAGTAGTGAAGACAGGAACCAAGCTGTGCCCTCACTGAACCCCCAGCCCCAGGATGTCGCAGGCTGACAGCTGGAAGGACTGAGCCCAACGCCTTTTTGGAAGTTTTCCTGTGGTCTCCCAGCTTTGTGGCCTGAGCCCCTCTCTCCGAACTTGTGTTTCCTTAGCAGTGTCTGACTTTAGCAACTGGGGAGCATCACAAGTCAGTGGTGTGCTGTTTAGGAATCTGCCTTTGTGATCCACCATGGCTTCTGAAGGTTTTGTTAATTCAGAATCTACATTCTCCCTGAAGGCCAAAAACCTTCAAGGAACATTCTTTCATCTCTCAGGAGAAGCTGCTCTTCGCCTCCACAGACCAGAACATGGGCAGTGAGTGGGCTGGCACCACAGTTGCAGGGACTGAAACTTGGTTAAGAAGTTACTGACTTCTGAGCCTTTAAGATACAGCAGCAAGGGACGAGTGTCAGTAAGAAAAGCCCCCAGAGATGACTGAGGTTGGGGGGGGATCTGTCTCTATGGGGTTATGTGACTAGCAGCCTTGAGTGATTCTTCTGAGCACAGCAAGAGTGTATCAAACTCCTGGGTTCTGGCATCTATCCTTTCTCCACTTGGAGAGGAGCCCAGGTTCGCTGTTTCCTGGACCCTGACCTTTTCTTTCCTTCCTGAGAAATGGACAGAGCTTCTGAACTACTGTTTAATTCAGAAGACAAAGCCACATCTTTTGGAGCCAATCAAAGGACAAGTACTTGCCACATAGCTTCTTTGTGTGGTGCCAAACCAAGACTCAGGAACAGCACACATCTCTGTAAAATAGCCGTGTTTTCTTTGGGAAGATGAGACCAGGGGCTCCCTGAAGGCAAGGACCAAGCCCAAGCCTCTTCATCTGTATCCCTGAGCCTTGCAAAGCCCAGACACATACATCTCTACCAACTTGAGGTGTGCAAGGTTTCTTTCAGGCAAGAAGATTCAAGGTGAAATCAAATGAGGCTCCGGGCTGGCACTAGAGACCATCTACTGGTGGGGGAGAGCAGCTCTTGGCTCCAGCTGCTCTTTAATAAATGAGAAGTCCCTATGTCACTGAAGCTGAAGTGGATTGAAGGGAGTTGCCACCTTTGTTGGTCAGCATGCCCCAATGTCACCTTACTCTCTATACATTTATCCAGTGACCCAGCTTCTCTATACCTCCAGACTAAGGCAAATCAATATCTTGTGTGTTTAGGGAGACTGCTGCCTTCCAAGCCCGCTTCAGATTACATGTCTGAGGTGGTCATAGGAGGGGGAGTTTACAGAAGTTCCTGGCCAGGGCTGACTTTAAAAAATATTTTTATTACATTTATTTATTTATTATTTATTTGTATGTGTGTGCATGCCATAGTGCATGTGTAGAGATCAGAAGGCAACTTGCAGGAGTTCTCTCCTTCCACCATGTGGGACCCAGGGATTGAACTCAGGTTATCAGGTTTGATAGCAAGCTCCTTTACTTGCTGAGCCAGGGGAAGACTGTGCCAAGAGTGTGTTAATCCACGGGCAAGGGTAAAGCATCCCAATACCTCCTTGCCCTTAAAATTTTTTGATTTATTTACTTTTATTTTATGTGTGTGAGTGTTTTGCCTGCATGTATGTCTGTGTTGTGCAGTGCCTGCAGAAGCCAGAAGAGGGTGTCAGATCCCCTGGAATTGGAGTTATGTATGGTCATTAGCTGCCATGTGGTGCTGAGAACTGAATCTGGGTCCTCTGCAAGAACAGCCAGTGCTCTTAACTGCTGAGCCGTCTCTCCAGTCCTGTCCCTGCCCCTTTTACCCTCCCACTAAAGAGTTTCATTATCAGCATGTTTATTAGATGACAGGTGCCCATGGCCAGAGCGTGAGCAGGGAGGGCCAGGCTTTCTGAGGTCCAGATCTTTTTCTGGAACATGTTTTCCATCTTGAAACTGCTGAGCTGGGCTGGGAGTCCCTGGTGATGTCACAATGACAGTAGCAATGAACTTTTGCTAGTAGCTGGCTCATTAATTTTCACAATGACCTGGGTGCATGCTGTTTCACATTCCATTGATGATAGTGTTTGGGATCACATGGTAACTAGTGGTAGAACTGGGGTTTGAACTCAGGGGCATGGGGTACAGAGCTCATTCTCTAGCTGCTTTCTCACTTTGTACAGTACTTTCATTTCCATGTGAGAGGTTGGGGGAGTGAGGACTGGAGGGTAGGTATTTGAGTATCCCTGCTTGCGATTTGCATGTCTTCAGAGGGACTATTTCCTTTTTCAAGTATGATGATTTAAGAGCATGCACTTTAAAGAGGCAGAGAGCTGGGTTCAAGTCTTGCTTCTGCTTCAAGAGAGGCCTGATCCTGTCAAGTCACTTAGCTCAGTGTTGCTATCTATGGGTGAGAACACAGGGAGATGATGGGACTCAACTCACAGAGTATGACATCAAATACATGTGAAGGGCACAGCACACACGTGCTTAGTAAATGGTAAATTGTTACTATGGAGATGTTCCTACCTGTCAATCCCAGTTCTTTATATTTAAAAAAATTTCATCTATCAGCTATCTATCTATCTATCTATCTATCTATCTATCTATCTATCTATCTATCTATCATCTTATCTATCTATCATCTTATCTATCTATCATCTATCATCTATCTATCATCTATCTATCTTTTTTATGTGTGTTTTGCCTGTATGTATGTAAGTGCATTTGTGTTGTGCAATGCCTGTAGAGGCCAGAAGAAGGCATCAGATCCTCTGGAACTAGATAAAAATGAATGTCAGTGGTCATGTAGGTGCTGGGAAATGAATTCAGGTCCTCTGCAAGAGCAGCCAATGTTCTTAACCACAGCTGTCTCTCCAGTCCCCACTCCTAGTTCTTTTAAATATATAAATTCACCAGGACGTCTGTATTCCAGACTTTGAGAATTCTGGGAAATGAAAGCATGCTTTCTCTAGGTGAAGGGGAGAAAAATGCATGCATACATAATTATGATGTGTGTTTGTGTGCCTGGAAATAGATTTTTTTGCTCAGAGTGGGAAGGGATAGTGGTGACAGTATAGATATAGTGGGGGTCACAGCTACAAGGGATGACATCACATCTGTGCTGTCCAGTATTTCTACTGACTGCATTCTTCCTATTCCTTTTCCAGCACTCAGCTGTCCACAGGGCCAGGTGTACCTGCAATGCAGGACCCCTTGCAACCTAACCTGCCGCTCCCTGTCTTATCCGGATGAGGAATGCAACGAGGCCTGTCTAGAGGGCTGCTTCTGCCCCCCAGGGCTCTACCAGGATGAAAGAGGGGACTGTGTGCCCAAGGCCCAGTGCCCTTGTTACTATGATGGGGAGATTTTTCAGCCTGCAGACATTTTCTCAGACCATCATACCATGTGGTAAGTGCAGGCAGCTGGCCAGACTGTGGACTTGAAAGCCTGGGAGGACAGTGAAGTCTTCTGCAGTGGTAGAACTGGACAGGAAAATGGTCCCCCAAGTCCTTTATTTCACGGATGTGTAAACTGAGGCCTTAAAGGGAAGTATACCAAATCAGAAGCAGCTCTGAGAATTCATTAGTCTTAGTTTGTTTTGAGTTGCTTTAACAGAATACCAGAGACTGGATTCTTTGTAGGGTAAGAAGTTTCTTAGCAGTTGCGGAGGCAGAAAGTTTCAGGCTTGGAAAGCTCCGTCCGGAGAGGGTCTCAGGAGTGGTAAGTGAAGTGTGCAGAGCTAGCAGATATGTGAAGGGGCTTCACTTTTTACTAAAACTTCTTCTGGGGGGAAGGTGTAAAATATGCCCACCCCTTCCCACCTTGGTCCCAATGGCAAACCCAGGTATGATTTCACCAAACTGGGAAACCAGAGTTTATTGGACTTACTTATAGAGCAGTGAGTGAGGGTTTACTTACAGTGTGTGGGTGCTCCCCCAACTAAGGATGTCCAGAAAGTTTTCATCCAAGCCTGGATGGTGGCTTCCCCAAAGCCGCACAAAGTGGCAGGAGACACCCTCCCCTAGGCTTCCTCAGCCTGCATACCCTCAGTCCCTCCCCCAGGTCACATGCAACTTGGGTTCACTGGTTGGTTGAGAGGTGTGGCTGGACTCTCAGGCTAGGGTCCTGTGGCTCTCCCTGCCCCTTTTCTTCCTTACTGGGACATAAACAGTTAACAAGCTCAGCTGTGAGTATCATAGGCAAGTGGGCACAACTGAGTTGGGAAGATGGCATCTGTCAGAGGAAAGTCCTTTACGAACACTACCCCTTCTCCTGATAAGGCATCCAGTCCCTTGAGCCCTAACCCACTCCCCTGGGATGTACATTAATCCCTTCCAGGGCTGGTATCTCTGTTAGGTCCCATCACCTCTCAACACTGTTTCCGTGGAGGTCCAGTTTCTAGCACGAACATACGTTGGGAGGGAGGCACATCATATTCAAATCATAGCAATTGGTGTTCTGACTTAAAGCATATATATCGTCCACATATTAACTCTAAGGCATGTCTACTTTCAAAGTTCCACCCAGCCATTCTGTGATAGATTCAACAGGGCTGTCATGATCACATTTAAAATTCTTAGAGAATTTCATAAATGAAAAATGTGTATTTTGATCATATTTGCCTTTCACTTCTACCTTTAGCTCCTCCCATGAATACCCCCCACCATGTCCTCTCCCAACTTCCTGTCTAGTTTTTTAAAATTTATTTTTTATTTCCCACTTAGCCCAAGCCCAATTAGTATTACCCATATGCCCATGGGTGTGGGGCCATCTACTGGAGAATTGTCGATTTACCAGGAACCACACATGCCTAGCCTAAAGAAAACAGACACACTCTCTCATCAACTGTCACTAGCTCCTCAGTTTCACTAGCTGGATCTTGGGCAGGAGTTGTGGAGGTAATACTGGCTGCTGTGAGTTCTTCACATACCCAAAGAAGGTTGTTCACACCTAGAAGGTTGCTTACGCTTCTGTTAAAGCAGTTCCCACGCTTGGCCTTAGACGTTAGTAAACATTGTGTCTCTGCTCTTGGTCGTGATGTTGCTCTAATGAATGAGTTTGGTTACTATAGATATTCCATATGAGTGGAATCATCTAACATTTATTATTTTCTTTTGTATCTAACTCATTTCACTTTTGTTACTGTGTTCAAGGATTATGCGTGTTGTTGCATGTATCCAAATTTCATTCCTTTTGATGACCAAATGATATTCTCTAGATACATACTTCCTCTTGCTTATTTGTTCATCTGTTGGTGACTGCTTGGGCTGCTGATGCTTGTGATTATGCTGCTGTGAACACTGGTGTTCAGTATCTGGGTGTATGCTTTCAGATTTGTGTGTGGGGAGTATATGCCCATTCCTGCAATTACTGGATCAAATGGTAATTTCTGTTCACCTTTTTGAAGACCTACCACCTACCAAATAGTAGCTGCAACATTTAAAATATTGTATTTGTTATTTTTATTTTATGTGTGTGAATGTATCACCTGCATGTATATTAAGTGTGCCCATGTCCTGCAATGCTCTCAGAGGTCAGAAGAGGGCATAAGATCCCCTGGAACTGGAGTTACAAATGATTGTTAGCTGCCATGTGAGTGCTGGGAACCAAACTTAGGTCCTCTACAAGAGCAGTCAGTGCTTTTAACTGCTGAGCATCTCTCCAGCCCAACTGTAATACTTAAATTCCCACCAGCAATGGACCAGGGTTCTAATTTCCCCACAACCTCCCTGGTATCTCATATTTTTCTTTTCTTTTGGTTAATCTCTGTGTGCAGATGTTCATGTGTGTGTGAAAGTGTATATGTGCCACAGTGCGTGTGTGGAGGTCAGAGGACAACCCTGGGTGTCGGTCTTCACCTTCCACCTTGTTTGGGACAGGGTCTCATGTTGTTCATTACTGTGAGTAGGCCAGGATGGCTGGTCCATGACCTTCTGCGAATTTTCCCATCTCTACCTTCCATCTCGACATAGGTTCTGGGATTACAGCTGTGCTACTGTGCCTGACTTCATGTGGGTTATGAGGTTTCGAACTCAAGTCCTTATGCTTACAGAGCAAGAACTTTTACCCACTGAGCCATCTCCCCAGCTCCTCTTTTTCTAATATTAGTCATCTTACTAGGTGTGATGTGGTATCTCATTATGATTTTTATTTGCATTTCCTTAATGACTAATGATGTTCGACATCTTTTCATGTACCTACTTTCCATTTACAGTTTAATTTTTTTTGATTTATTTATTTTTATTTTATGTGTATGAGTGTTTTGCTTACATGTATGTAAGTGCACCTGTGCTTGCAAACCCATGGAGGCCAGAAGAGGGTGTCAGATCCCTTGGAACTAGAGTTACAGATGGTTGTTAGCCACCATGTGGGTGCTGGGAACTGAACCTGGGTCCTCTGCAAGAGCAGCCAGTACTCTTAACCTCCAAGCCATCTCTCCAGTCCCCATTTATAGATTTTAAAAAATATGCCGATTTGAGTCTTTTGGCCATGTTTGAATCAGATACTTTGTTTTGTTACTGAGTTTATAGAAGATCTTTGCATATTCCAGACAAATGATTTACAAATGTTTTCTCCCATTCTATAACTTTTTTCATAATGTTGATAGTGTCCTTTGATGCAGGAAACTTTTTAATTTTAACTCAGTTTATCTATTCCTTTATTTAATTCCTTATACTTCTGTATCATATCCAAGAACCCACTGCCAAATTCAAAGTCATGAATATTTACCCCGATGATTCCCTCTAGGACTTTCTTAATGTTTAGATCTTTGATCCATTTGGAGCTCATGTTTTGTATATGGTATGAGGCCAGAATCCAACTTCATTCTTTTCCAGATGGAGCTTCGGTTTCCCGGCATTGTGTAAAGACCCCTTTGTACATGGAATGGTCTTGGCCCTGGTGTAGAAATTCAATTGACCGTATAGGTGATGGCTTACTTCTGAGCTGTTTATGGAGTGGGTCTATATACCTGTCTGTCTGCCAGTCCACGTTATTGTCATCTATAACATTGTAATAAGTTTTGGACTCAGGAACTGTCACTCCTCCAACTTTCTTCTTTGTCAGGATTGTTTTGGCTGCTCAGGGTGCTTTGAAGTACCGTATGAGTTTTAGTTTTTTATTTATTTCTGCAGGAAATGCCATTGGGAGTTTGATAGGGATGCATTCAATCTGTAGATTGCTTGTAGGTCATTTTTTTTCTTTTGAAGTCTTGTCATCCTAACATTAAGCCTCTGATTCATAAGTAAGGAATGTCATTCCATTTATTTAGGTGTTCTTTAGCATTTTTAAGTGTGTTTCATAGTTGCTTGAAGCATTTTATTGGTGTGTATTAATTATACAAAGCTATGGGTTTGGTTGTGACGTTGTCATATACACACATACTGTACTTTGACTTTATTTACTCTTAGCCTTTCCTCCCATCACTTCATTCTTTCCCAGTTGTCCTCTTTTTACATCCATGCCGTCTTTTTAGATTCCACATGTGAGAGAAAACGTGCTGTGCTTGTCTGAGTCCGAGCCCATTTTACTTAACACAGCAATCTACAGTTCCATCTATGTGCCCACAAATACTATAAGTTTATTTCTTCATGGCTGAATAATACTCCATTGTATGTGTATCCTATGTTTTCTTTATCCATTCATCCTTTGATAGGCACCCAGGCTGAAGCCATAACTTGGCTGTTATGAAAAGCTCGGTGATAGACATGGGTGTGTAGACATCCCTATTGTATCCGGACTGATTCCTTCTGAAGCAGAAGTGGTACTTGCCCCATACAGCATTTGTACTTTTTAGTTTTTTGAGGATCCTCTCTATACTCGTTTCTGTAGTGGCTGTAGTAATTTACACTACACCAACAGTGTGTAAGAGTTCTGTTTTCTTCATGTCTTCACTAGATTTTTTTTTTCTTTTGCATCTTTTAGGGATAAGACCTCCCATTGTAGCTCAGGCCAGCTTAGAACTCAGTATGTAGTCCTGGCTGGTGTCTAACGCATGGCAATCCTCCTGCGTCAGCCTCTCAAGTGCTGGGACCATGGGTGTGAGCCACCATGCCTGGCTTTACCAGTGTTGTTTAAAAAAATATTTTATTTATTGTTTTTATTTTGCGTATGAGTATATTGCCTGCATGTATGTAAGTACACATGTACGTAAGCACTGCAGTGCCTGCAGAGGTCAAAAGAGGGCATTAGATTCCCCTGGAACTGGAGTTACAGACTGTTGTTAGCCGCCATGTGGGTGTTGGGAAGTGAACTGGGTCCTCTGTGAGAGCAGCTAGTGCTCTTAACTGCTGAGCCATCTCTCCAGCCCCTAAGTGTTGTTATTTTTGATGATTGGTGATCTGACTGGGGTGAAACGGAATCTCAGTGTGGTTTTTTATTTGCATTTCCCTTATTGTTAAATATGTTGGACATTTTTCCATGTATTTGTTGGCTGCTTGTATTTCTTTTGAGAACTGTTTGTACAGTTCATTTGCCCATTTGTTTATTAGATTGTTTGCTATTTGCTTTTCATGCTTTGGGTCTTTTACATTTTCTGCCAGATGTGTATCTGGTAAAGATTGTTTCCTGTTCTGCAGAGAATCATTCAGTTAACTGTTTCTTTGGCTGTGAAGAAGCTTTTTTTTTTTTTTTAAATGTGCTTTGGGATTGAATAGATGGCTCAGTGGTTAAGAGTATTGCTCTTGCAGAGGACCTGGGTTCAATTCCCAGCACCCATCTGGCAGCTAACAACTGTCTATACTCCAGGTTTAAAGGATCTGATACCTCGTTCTGGCCTCTGTGGGCATTGTACATACATGGTGCACTTACACACATGCAGGCAAAACACTCATACACTAAAAATACAAATAATAAATAAATAAATAATTTAAAAATTAGGTTTTGAAGTCAGGTATGGTGGTACATGTCTTTAATCTCAACAGTCTGGAGGCAGAGGCAGGCAGAACTCTGTGAGATTTAGGCTGAATTCCATCCAGGTCAGCTGGGACTACAGGGAGACCCTGTTTCAAAACAAACAAACAACCCCCAAACAAAACAGAAAAAGGCAGGAATGAGTGCAGGAACATAGATTGGGAGACAGTTGTGTGGTTCAGACAGGAGGTGATGTCATCTCATCTTGTGGCAGTGGAAGTGGAGAGGTAGACAGGAATCCAGCAACGTGGGGGAGGCAAAGTCCAGGCTTCTGATAGATTTGACGTAGAGGGAAGTGTCAGGGTTGAACCCTGGTTTCTGTTGGGAATGGACATACCAGTCCATGGATCACACTGGAAAAGGCCTGCTTTGGTAGGGACCCCGGGTTCTGGTTGGGTGCGCTGCACTTGGTGGTCTCTTTGACTCTAAAGGAAGCTATGAAGGAGGCATTTGTAGATACGAGTCTAGGGATTAAAGGGGAGCCCATGCACTGCTGGAAATGCATGGCTCATCTCTAGAATCAGAGCTGTGGGTGTGGAGGCGGCACAGTGTGAGAAGGAGAGGAAGCCTGGGGCAGAGCCTGGGCAATACTGACATTTACACGTCAGGCAAAGGGGATGTGTGAACTCAGTGGAGGCTGAGGAGGAGCAGGTAGGGAAGCTGGGAAATCCAGCAGAGACTGTTTTTATTCTCTAAGAGATCAAGTAGTTATCAATGATGGATAATGTTCAAGTGAGGGATCAAGTAGGAAAACAACTTAGAGGCATTCACCAGATTTAATGACCTGGAGGTCACTGGTGACCTTAGCAAGCCAAACTATCAAGAGTTATGGGTCCGAAGTGCCACTGGAAGGCACAGATTGAGTGGGAGGTGAGGAAAGGTGTCAGTGAGTAGAGATGACTCTTGCAAAGCTGGGCTGTTTTCTCTGCAGCTACTGCGAAGATGGCGTCATGCATTGCACCACGAGTGGAGCCCCGGGGAGCCTGTTGCTTGACACTGTTCTCAGCAGCCCCCTGACTCACCGCAGTGAGTACCGTAGTCCTGGAAAGCTTTGTTCTTTCCTTCTGCCCAGACTCTTCTCCATGGAGTGGGAGGAGTGAGCTGGCCACCTTGTCTGCTATGTGTATGTGTTTAGACATGGGTCTGCTCTGCCCAGGATCACCATGACTCCTCCATTTGTGTGAGTGACCTCCAGACATATCTTTGCATGAGTGAGGCAAGAGGGATTTTCTTTTGTGGAAGGGAAGCACTGAGCTATCCACAAGATGGACTCAGTGGGGTCTCTTTGTCTGGGGTAGTTTTAGTGCAGTGGACAGCTGGGGTAAGTTTGTGGCCTAGCTTGGAAATGACAGCCACACTTCTCCAATAACCCCTGTTTCCTGTGGACATGCTGGTGAGGTTTCCTCTCTTTAAGCCTCTCAGATAGATTTGAAAGAAGAGGGCCTTGGGCCGGTTGCTCCCAGCTTGAAGATCCTAACAGTTGTGGTACTGTTTTAGGACAAGGCACAGAATGGAGCGGGGATGACTTGTGTGGATCATATGTCTGGATCACTTCCAGAGGGATCATGCTTGCTTAGAAAGGATTCTCCCAGTGGGAGGAACATAAATAGGCCCTTTTCAGTCTCCAGCTTGATCCCTGCTCTCTGCCTCTCACACTGAGACTCCCCCTCATACCATTTGCTTGGCCTGGGTGAGGGTCTGGTTCCCTGAACAACTGTTTTGTAGCATCTATCAGCATAGAGTCGGACCAAGACCCCAAGCCTATGGGTGATTCAAAATTAAAATCAGAGCATGTGACCTCCAGGCCACTAAGGCTTCTTTTCACTCTTCTGTGACATCCCCAGGGCCCTCCTTCATTGCAGTCTGCCTAACAGACCTATCTTTCATGCCTGCCTTGCTCAGAATCTTCTGGTCTAGTCATGGGAAGACATTATATCATCTTCAAAGTAGGGAAACACCTGAGTTTCTTTGCAAATTGGGAAAAGTCACTTTCTGCTTTGAAGTTTCAGCTTCCTAACCCACATTTCCACATAAAAATAAGGCAGAGAACTCTGGCTTCCTTGCCTAGAGTGATAGAAATGTCAGGTTCTTTTGAAAGGAAGGTTTTGTATCAACCACTTGCTCTCATCTTTATCCAATCAGTTGTGACATCTTCTGACTGAGGGGAAATGTGATCCCCAATGAAGGAAGCAGATAGACTCCCTGCCTTCATGGGGCATTTGTTTTTTTTTTTTTTTGGTGTGGGCTGCGGGGCTGGACACAAGGGATTGAGCTGGGTGCTCTTAGTTTGAGAGTCTGGACAGTTGCTCTATTGTTTGACTCAAGAAGAGAGAGGGGTGACCGTATTTCTCATTCCTGGATCAGAGGCAAAATGTAAAATGTACAATATATCAGATGCTGGGAAGAACATGGATGGTATGGAAGAGAACACAGCAGGGAGGTGACTGGAGTGTCAAGATTGATGCTGTGGTTGTCACTATTACAGAAAGACTGACCTTGGAGCAAGAACCCCTTTAAAGTCTTTGTGGTTGATTGTCTTCTTCACGAGATATAACTAGTTCATGAATGGTCTACTGGGTCCTAACAAAAAAACCCAAACCTAGGTCTTCTCAAGCCTAGATCTAGAAACTTCCATGATGCATCTTGATTGAATACAACCTGGGAGGGCAGGATCAAAAGAGATAAGTGAGGGACATCACATGACATCTGCTGGAGTTGGGAGAGCTGCCACTAGCATAGTGTAGTATTGAAGATAGATGAAGGTGCTGCCCTCGTCCCACATGGGGAATCTGGCTCAGGTTTACCTTGATGGCTGGGCAGTATCTGGTCCTAGGGGTTGGCAGCTCTGAGTCTCTTAAGTGAGTGATGGCACCTGGGAGTCACAGGACATTCAGAAGGAAGACCTTGTCATGGTGTGACTTACCACCTCTTGGCTTTTCCAACCTCTAGGCAAAAGGAGCCTATCCTGTCGGCCTCCTATGGTCAAGTTGGTGTGTCCCGCTGACAACCCACGGGCTGAAGGGCTGGAGTGTGCCAAGACGTGCCAGAACTACGACCTGGAGTGCATGAGCCCAGGCTGTGTGTCTGGATGCCTCTGTCCTCAGGGCATGGTGAGCCACTGCCTGTCTGAGCCACTTCCCTTCTGTTTTCCTTCAGGAAGCAGTGAGTGAGGAGGCCGTGGAGCTAGAGAGAGGAAGAAACAAGAATGAGACAGGGATGGTCATGGGGATGGGGGTGGTGGGCAGATTCAAAGTTGGGGAAGAAGTTGATAGGGAAATGTGGGAAATGTCTGTAGTTGATGCTAATAGAATCTGACAGATACAGAAGATCTTGGCTCACAGGACTGCCCTAAGAAGCAAAGAACGTATTTCTAGAAAATATTTACATGTCAAAATAGGCATGTCTACTAGAATTTTCCCAGAGGTTGCATTCCATGCTGTGAAGATGGGAGAATGCACACATATTTGTGTATGATTTACATATATGTCTGTAACTTTCTCTAAGAGAGCACATTAATGTCCCGTCATGTTACTAGCAAACTTAGGGCTTTCCTTGTACTCGACTTTGTTTTCCAGCTCCATAAAATGAGTTGTGAGGTCTTTGCCCGCTCTGTATGTCTCATTACTCTAAAGCCCGGGGTGCAAATGTGCCTGGAGGCCACACAACAGTCCAGGACCATGCTGGTTTACAGCTATCTGGCTTCTGTGTGCGCTTCAAGAACTGGGCTGGTGATAGTGGTCTGAGCATATTCAGGTCTTCTGACCTCCTTCCCTCTAACATTAAGCCAGTTTTACATTAAATATGTTACACATGTATTAGTATTATCACCTTGAAGAATGTAACTTCTGGACTTTTTTCAAGTGCATTTTGTCTTTATGCTGTCCCTGACTGCAGTTCCCCTATCTCAAAGTGTGTGGTGAGGAATGAGGGCAAAGCTGTAGAGGCCAGAAGGGAGTGTGCAGGATGGCTCTCATTTGACTGAGTGTGCATTAATGATGCTCAGGACTCTGCTTGGGGAACTGCTGATGTGCTTTAGCAGGAACTGGCACATTTTCCCAGTGCCCTGAAGAAGGTTGGAGTGTGTGTAGGGTGGTTGTTCTTTTCTCTTTCTTTTCTTGCTCCTTTTCTCCCAAACACAGTGTATTAGTTACTTTTCTTTGGTCACACCATGACCAAAGCAACTTATAGAAGGAAGAGTTTATTTGGCCTACAGTTCTGGAGGGATCCATCATGGTGGGCAGGCATGGCGGCAGAGGTTGCGGAAAGCTGAGAGCTCACATCTCCAGGCATATGCAGGAAGCAGAGAGAGCGAGCTAGAAGTAGGGCAAGGCTATGAACTTCTGTATTAATTACTTCTCTGTTGTTGTGATAAAACACCATGACCGAGGCAACTTGTAGAAGGAAGAGTTTAATGGGCTTACTGTTCTGGAGGGATAAGAGTTCATCATGGTTGGGAGGCATGGCAGGAGGTGACCAGAGCAGAAAGTAGAGTGCTCACATCTTCAAGCAGGCACAGCAAGCAGAGAGACAGAATGGAAGTGTGATGAGACCTCAAAGCCCATCCCCAGTGATGTGCCTTCTCCAGCATGGCTACACCTCCTAAAGGTTCCATGATCTTCCCAAGCAGGGCCACCAACTGGGGACCAAGTGTCAAATACTAAGAGCCTATAGGGGGATGTTTCTCATTCAAGCCGTCACACAAAGTTCTTATTACTTCTCTTTGGAGTGTTCTCTACTATCTTAACCCATGATGGTTCTGGAACTGACTTTTTCTAATGGACAGCTGGAGATTGGCCAGTGAGCAGTCTTCACCTGGACAGAGTAGTTCATGCCTGAGGAGAAGGATGACCACGGGGTCTGTAAGAGGAGAAAGCTCAGCCCCAGGTAGGAGAATAGGAGGCCCTGGGGAGAATGTCTTCTTGTGAGTGGCTCAGGGCTTTGTGGGGACAAGCATTGTTCCCAGGACTTCATGATCTCAGAGAAGTCTCAAGTAAGAAAAAGGACTCTTCTTATGAGATAACGTCATCATCAGGCACAGCAGTTCCCCAAGCAGAGTCCTGGGCATCATTTTTATGTTAAAAAAAAATAATAAATGATTTGCAGCCGGGTGTGGTGGCACATGCCTTTAATCCCAGCACTCGGGAGGCAGAGGCAGGTGGATCTCTGTGAGTTCAAGGCCAGCCTGGTCCACATAGTGAGTTCCAGGACAGCTGGGGCTACAGGGAGACCCTGTCTCAAAAGGACCAAAAAAAAAAAAAATGATTTGAGATAATGTCTCATTATGTTGCCCAGACTGGCTTGGGATTCCTGGGCTTAAATAAATAATCCTCCTGCCTCAGCCTCCTGAGTGGCTGAAATTATAAGCATACTTCACCATGCCCAGCTGGGTCAAGGATTCCTTAAATGAACTCTGTGCATGCGTGTGTGCGTGTGTGTGTCTGTGTGTGTAGGAAGCAATCCAGGCACCCTTAAATATTAATAACCACAATAATTGCATTATGATCCCTAGTCCCAAGGGGAGAGTGTGACCTCAAATCTAGGCTGTGAATGTTTTGCTAGGTTCTCCTTCCTCATCCAGAAGCCCCTGGTCTGCATTCTGAGGACAGAGTGCCTTTAACTTGGGCCCCACCCCACTGGAGATTGGGTTATTTTCACAATGGCTTCATTGCAGTGCCAGCTGACGTGCAGCTTGCTGGGGCCAAACCCGGCAGAGCAGAGAGGTTGAGTAATTTATGAAGTGTGTGCATCGGGCTGGCTGCAGCATGGGACACGTGTTCCTGCCCACAGCACAAAGAAAAGGGAGCTGGAAACACCTTGCTTGAGCCGGTCTGATGGTGTAGACTTCATATCTAGGGCTGTCTCCCACTGCCATGTGTGAGGTAGAGATTGTGGCTTGATACCAAGGGTCTGAGCAAGGGGTCAGGAATTCTCCATTTGGAGGACTTGCAAAGGGGTTGAGACGTCGCCTTCTGATGGAAGTGAATCTACTGAAAGCTGAAAGAGCTCTGGAGGGGAACAGAGTGCAGAGGGCTGAATGTGGTTCCAAAGGCTGCAAAAGCACTGTTAAAACCAGATAATGGAGGCTGGAGAGATGGCTCAACACTGAAAGAGCTCTGGAGGGGAACAGAGTGCAGAGGGCTGAATGTGGTTCCAAAGGGTGCAAAAGCACTTTTAAAAGCAGATAATGGAGGCTGGAGAGATGGCTCAACAGTTAAGAGCCCTGGCTGTTCTTGTAGAGGACTTGGGTTTGATTCCTAGCACCCACACGGTGGCTAACAACTGTCTATAACTCTAGTTCTAAGGGATCCGATGCCCTCTTCTGGCCTCCACAGGCATTGCATGCATGTGATGCACTTACATACATGCAAGCAAAACACTTGTACACATAAAAAAAAAATTAAAACAAACCCGGATAGTGGGCTGGGGACGCAGCTCAGTCGGTAGAGTGCTTGCTTGGCATGTACAAGTGGGGCTGTGAATTCAGTCCTCAGCACTGTATAAAATGGGTGTGGTGGTACATGCCTCTAGCACTTAGGACATGGAGGCAGTAGAATGAGATGTTCAAACTCGTCTTCAGCTACCTAGAAAGTTGGAAGCTAGCCTGAGCTAGAGACCCTGTCTCAAAAGGGGGGTGGGTACGTGGAGAGATGGCTCAGTGGTTAAGAGCACTGACTGCTCTTACAGAGGACCTGGGTTCAATTCCCAACACCCACATGGTGGCTAACAACTGTCCATATCTCCAGTTCCAGGGGTTGAGGACCAATGCTTTTGTAGATATAGCTAAAAATTGATTGTCAGGGCTGGAGAGATGGCTCATCAGTTAAGAGCACTGAGTGCTTTTGCAGAGGACCCAGGTTCGATTCTCAGAACCCACATGGCAGCTGACAACCGTCCTAACTCCAGTTCCAGGGGATCCAACACACTCTTCTGACCTCCACAAGCATTTTACAACACGGGTGCACTTACATACATGCGGCAATATACTCACACACATAAATAAAAATAATAAATTGAAAAAACGGATTATCAGAAAAATGAAACAACAAAAATTAGTGATAGGGACTGGAGTGTGGGTTGGTGCAAAGCTCTGGGTTCATTTCTAACACTGCCCTCTCCCCCAAAGACACACAAAATATGGGCTCCTCCTAATTTTTATCACATATAACAGGTATGATGTCACACTCTTAGTTTCTCTGCTTTCATTATCACATGTTGACTCTGGCTCTCTTCACTCTTTAAATTGACATCATCCTCATCTGAAAACTCCTCCTTCAAGGAATGTCTCAGTGTCCCCTGTAAACGTAGACACATCCGTTTGAAAATGGCCGAGACAGGGAGGAAGCCCTTCATTTCCTTTTTCCTTTCAGCGTTTCAGGTGTGACACCTGCTCAGAGCAGAGGCCTTCTGTCCCACCCCACAGGCAGCGGGCTGTGTGCCCCTGCAGCTGCCTCGAAGGTCTGCTTGCATGGGACTGAGGGGCAGGATGCTTGTATAAGTGGCTGTGAGGAATAATAGCTGGAGAAGCTCTGTGGAAAAAAGGCATCGTGGGGGAATTGGATGCTTTCATTTGTGCGTCCTGAATTCAGTCCAGTGACAAATCCCATCACCGGCAAAGTTGCATTAGAAGGGTTTGGGGGAAGACTAGAGATGATAGACAGTCAGAGGCATGTGGGGATGCTTTGTTAGTGGGGGTATAGTGACCACTGTCATATAAGTTCATGAAGTAAAACCATGAATGGTAATCAGGAACAGAGACGCTGGAGGAAACCAGCTTTCATACTCTGGGACCAACAGCCTAGAGTTCATGTTGTCAGACCCATTGGGGCCATTAAATGAAGGGCATCACAGGACTTACCAACTAATCAAGTTTTTAAGAATTTTTTTGATAATTTTGAGACAAGTTTCACTTTGTAGTCTAGGCGGGTTTGGAACTCACTATGTAGCCCAGGCTAATAAGTTTTTTTTTTTTTTTTTTTTGAGACGGGGTCTAACTGTGTAGTCACAGATGGCCTAGTGCTTGCTATGTGAACCAGGATAGTCTCCAACTCGCAGGGATCCTCCTGTCTGTACCTCCCAAGTGCTGGGGTTAAAGGTCTGCATCGCCATACCT